TTGTAGCCTTTCTCATCGTCTTACAGTATTAATCATAAGATTATTTACCTCTTTTAAGGGTTTCATTTTCAATGGTGTCCTAGTTAAGATGCATTAAAAAAAATTAAAATGCCATAGTTGGAATACAAGTCTACAATTCTATATTGACTCCCTGAATAGTAAAACTTACAGTGTGCTAAGATATAAATAGAGTGAGGTAATAAAAAAATAAGAAAGATGTCTAAGAAAGCTGAGAAATACCAGAAGTTTTCTGAAACAAAAATTTATGTATTGTTGTAGGCAAAGGATTTCATGCCAGGTCATTGACTTGTTTCAATCCTAGAGAGGTTGCTTCTTATTTAAATATTTCCAGAAAAGGCTGACTGCCATAGGACAGTTGTTTATGTGCATTATTGGGGCACATACACATTTTAAAAGAATTTAAACTTAGCTCTGTCTTTGACATTTTCCCATAAAATATTGTACCTGTACACTTAGTCACTTTGCTATTATAAAACTATTTCTTCAAGAGTTCTAAGATTGAAATGCTGTTAAATATTTGGAGTCTTTGAGAAACTGTACAGTATTTAACTAATAGCAGACAGAGTGGATGAGCATTCCATTTTCTAGAAAAATAATTATCAAAATATTCTGCCTACATCAAAACATTTTCTTACCTAAACATTTTTAAACAGTTTTGCATTTTGGGGATTTTTTTTCTTGAAATGCTTTCCTTTTGGGGGTGGTATTCATCTTGATAAGTAGCTACTATTATCAATGATAAAACTACTGATGAATAGAAAAAGAGATGTTAAAAAAGAAATCCAGATAAAGCTATGAGGATGTGTTATAAAAAACAAAACCAGTGCTTGCTAGATCATGAGCCAATTAATTAGAGAAGAAAAACAAATTCTCCTTTCTTACTGAATCTTATACATGATTGTGCACCTGAGTAGGGACACATGGTGGCCTTTAGTGGCCTGGAAGTCCTATTTGTTCAGTCCTGGTTCTCATCAAACTTACCAGTAGTTGTATTCACCAGCATGAGAATAGATTCTGGGTATGAAATCAAAGGGAGGAGGAAATATGAAGAACACCTCACAGAGAATAAATTTCATGAGGATAATGATTTTGTAAGATAAGAGCTAGACTTAATTAAATATCATTACTGATTAAGCACTGTGGTAAGTACTTTCTGTGTATTAACTCATTTAATCATCATAACAACCCTAATTATTATGGTTCTCATGTCATGGATGAAGAAGCTGAGACACAGAGAGGTTAAGTAATGTTGTACAGTCTAACTGCTAGTATCGGGGTAGAGCTGGTATTGAATCAGGAAGTCTGGTTCCGTCTGCCCTAATTACTCCAGTGATTCCCAAACATGAGAGTATATCCAAATCACTTGGAGAGCTTATTAGAACACTGATTCCTGGGCTCCATCCCCAGAGTTTCTGATTCATTATGTCTACAAAGCAGACTGAAACTTTACATTTCTAATGAACTCCCAGGTAATTCTGATGCCTTTGGAGCAGGGATCACACCTTGAAAACCACTGTTTACACTATACTCCCTCTTGGGAGTTATTCTTGACAAGCCAATGGCATATAATTTTAGGTTCTGTGAAATTTTGCTTTTAAGGGATTTAAATGTTTACCTATATCAAAGCAAATAATGAATCAACTCACAGAAATGGTGTACAGTCTAATAAAGCTAACCATTAGAAAACATAAGTGGGCACAGATTCATTCATTTGTAATCATTTATTTAATTGCAAATCATAGGTTTAGGGCTTGAAATACAGTGAAGGAAAATGTATTGGCCTTGCCCTCAAAAAGTTCAGTGTAGGAACATGTATAAGCAAACAATTGAAGAACAGTCTCATGAGTTTTGCAGTGGTGAGGCTGTGTGGATCGAAAGGGTCAGAAACAGTTTCACAGAGGAGGTTTTGAGCTGTTGTAAAGTGCAAACTGAAGTTAACAGTGATATGCATTCTAGTGAAGAGGGCATATGCCAAGTTATGGAGATGAGAAAGGGCACGTTGAATATTGGAAATTATTAAGAATCTGACTGACTACAGGTCAGGGTTGGAGCAAAAGAGTGGGAGGCTAAGTAAAATAAGATTAACGTCAATATCTAGGAATTTATGAAAGTGTGGTGACTTCCTGGACTTTGGATGAGAAGTCATCAAGAGATGGGCAAGAGATGGGCTCAGTGGTGCTTTCTAGGAAGATGACTGGCAAATGCAGAGTTAACAGCGAAAACCTAGAAACCGTTTGGGGAGGACACTGTAGAACATGTTCTTGTCCCTTAGAGGCAAGGATTCCAGTCCAGCCATGAAAGGATATGGGAGTGATCTAAAATAATGGCTGTGGGGTTGAATAAAAACAAGTAGGTTAGGAAAAAAGTCACATCTGAATAGTGCTATTTTAAGTGTTTGTATATTTTAATCCACATATTACTTGGAAGAAACCCTGCACCTCTACTATTATTTATTTATTTATTTTTGATACAGATAAGAAAACTGAAGCACAGAGAAACTGGGTCATTTCCCCAAGGTCACACTGCTTGTCAGTGGTAGAACCAGACTTTGAACCCAAACTCTAGAGTCTGCCTTCATGTCCAGGTCTAGAGATGAACTGGATATGGAAAATAAAGGGAAAATAAGGTATTTAGAGTACTTTCTCCACTTAGCATATATTTAGGCCAGTAAATGCATACCCAATATCCATCGTCTACAGCCTGGTCATCTCATCCATTCAAATGATGATCTAACAGAGTTAAGGGAACTGGACATATGTTTCAGCAGGTTTTCCTTATGGGATTTCCCAAGGCTGGCGTGAACTCAGTGCCTAGCAGAGCATGCAGTCATTGAGACAGATATCTCCTCTCGTGTTATCACTCCCGCACAGGGATGGCACATACTCTTCTGACCACCCCTGCTAATGTTACAGTTGTAACCACATCCACCGCGTGATTAACTCTGGGTCCCTCAGCTCTGCTTCAAATTTTGTTCAGTTTAGTCACCTTTTTTTTTTTTTTTTTTTAAGCCAAAGGCCTGCCATTTGTTATTTTACTAGGTGATAGGGGCATAGAAATGAAATAGTCCTGGCTCAGGAGAACCAGTTATGTATGTGTACATTTCACTATAATATGGTGCTATGGTAGCTGATGTATAGGGTGCTATGGAAAATGAACAGGTTCAGGATCAGAATCACACAACGCTTTGGAAGTATGGCCACAGCCACAAAACTTCTCATCACTTCCCCAACAAATGACTAATGCTCCTTTCTGTCTTTCACAGTGAAGAAGAGGAAAATGAAATCAAATGAGAAGACACAGAGTAGAAGGGAAGGAAAGATTTTTCACTGCAGCTTCTCCAGCATGGTGGACTCAAGGTACCAGCTCTTTCTGAGAGAATGGGATAGTAGATCCATGTGGTAGGAAGAATATGAAGGCATTTCTAAAACTGAAGACTCTTTATTAAAAAGACAATCCCTCCTTGGAATTTAAGGGACAGATACAGCTTTCTAGCCCTTGTCATTTTACCATCTGGGAAGGAAATGCCTTCATGTATGGGGTCGCACAGAGTTGGACACAACTGAAGCGACTTAGCAGCAGCAGCCTTAGACCTGGCTAAGCATCATTACAGGGAAGACACAAACTACATACCAGATTAAAAAAAAAGTACCTTGAACTTTCTTTTAAATACTAGGTTTCTGTGATTTTAAAGTCCAGAGAAGATTTTTAGAGTACAGTTGGAAATTATCAGTTGACAAATCTGATATCCATTTAAGAGTGTCACCAGATAAGAATACACAGAAGAAAACCTTGCACAATATTTGATAATAAATGTGTGAAAGTAATTATGTGACTGTGATGCAGGGAAAATGATTAAATGGCTTTGTTGTATTTATTTATGGACAATGATTAGATATACTCTTCATCACAATGACAGAAAAGAGAAAAAAATGATTGTTGAAAATATCAAGCTTTATATAGCCATTTTCCCTTCTTCAAATAGCTAAAAGGGGATAAGAAAAAAATTGAACTTTTGAATATATTTTAAAACCACAGCCCTTCGCAATTTAGAGAATTCCACAGATAACAGAGAGAAAAGTGAGAATTAAAGTAAAACAAGAGCACTTTATGCAGAAATGTTACTTTAACAGTTTATTGAATCTAATTGTTATGACAACAACATTTCATCTTGCACTTTTATAAGATTATATTACTTAAAATCAACCTTTTGACACTGGAATGTATTTGAGAAGCAAAATGAAACCTGCCTTATTTTTGTAAGAATTGGTATATTTGTAAATAAGGTAAGTGAAAATTATCAGTATTATGAAGTATTATTTTACAAATTATGTATGGTTCATATGTACTGTAGAAATATTGCTCATTTTAAATTTCAACAGTTCAAATTTAGAATTTTAAGTATATTGTTTAGAGAATGTGAAATGTTGACAAGTATTGTGTGGCAACAAGAAACTGGATGTCAAAGGGAACTTCATGACATCTAGATTTTCTGACATGCCTCCTTGACTGAATTTAGTTAAATAAGGAAAAAAGAAACCTCAAGATAAGCTCTGATGAGAGTGAACACATTTTAGACAATCGGTTAATACCATTTCCTATTCTATTCAAAAGTTTAAAACAATTCAAGAAGTATTTCCCGATTTATCCTTCAGTGAAACAAGGAGCATCTCCTCTCCGTATTTCCCCGAGGTGCGGAAAAGAATAAATAGCAAATTAGCCCTCTTAGTCTAAGGAATACACTTTTATAGTTATAGCTGTTCCCAATAGTGTGTTTCATTGATAATTTTGAAGGATATCGAATTTGGATCTTCAGATTTAGAGGGCAGAAAGCTCATAGCACTGTTGGTCGGAAACACACAAACGGGGCACTTTGGAGGTAGACACACCCCAAGTGCCTCTTTCCCCTTGATGCTCCTGAGCCCCAGGCTCACACTCTCTGCCTCCGACGGCGCCTTCCCAGGTCTCTTTTCCCTTCTATC